GTTTTGATAATTCATTTTTTACAATTATCAATTTAAATTTTCACAAAAAATCCATATACATTATTTTTATTTTTTTCAATATTTCTCATTAAAAATATAAACATATATAGACCTTGATCCATGATATCATTCTTAATATTTTTGCATTTGAGAAAAAAATGTGATTTATTGAAAAATGTTTCATTTAGGAATATTTTTCTTTTCAAAAATAGTTTATAAAATTAAAATATTCGTATTAAATCCTTCTTTATAATATTTAAATCATAAATACCATATGTTAAATTTTTTATATACATTATATTATGCTAGATACTTACAAAAATTATTCATTTCATGTGTTAATAAATAGCAGTTTTCAATATTTATAAAATTATAAAAATATCAAAACTAAACATTAAAATTATGAAGCAATAATTTTGATATAGCCATGATATTTGATCCTAACATTTTTTGCTAATATGATTTATTTTTTAGTTTTTTTTAAACATTCAACTTTTTGTTGATATTTGATTGAATCGATTTCATTATGTTCCAATTGAAACATAATGAATTGAGTATAACATGGTCAAATTTGGACATTAATTGTGTAAATGATGTTTTTCACATTTATAACAGAATTATTCAAATATTTCAATAATTTTCAAATCTTTACATGAAATAAATCAAAATGTAAGACTACATTTTTACTTAAGATATAATATTTGAAGAGCTTAAATGAAAAAATTGTAATTTTTGTTATTTTTAATGGAATATAATATTTTATAAATTTGCAAGATATAAGCCTATGAACTTTTTTCTGTTCATTGAATAAAGATTTGTATTATAAATAAAGATATAATGTAATGATTATGTATAATGGAATAAGGTATATTTTTAGTACAATTAAAAAATAAAGGTTTTTAATATAAATTAAAGTGTACTAATTGATAAATTACAATTGAAAATAAAAATGTATTAAACTCATTGGAAAAAATGAGTTACTTTCATTTTATGATAAATTCAATCTCAAGATTTGCTGCCGTATAAAAACGATAATTTTGTTGTTTGATCTTTATTATTTTGGCTCTTTTGAAGTTTAAAGTGGGATTAGTTATATAATCAAAATCGGATTAAATAATGTTCAGATTTTAAATTCACATAAATAACAATTCATACAAAATTTTCATTTGAATTTTTTATAATTTATAGTTCATAATGTAAATTGGCAAAACAATTCAAATAAAAATCAATATGATGCTTTAAAAGACCTAATAATGTAATTTTTTAATGAATGTATCAATTTGATATAGTCATTTTTCTAATGCTTTTTATTAAAATTGGAATTTATTTTTCAAAATGTTAATAAAAATAAAAATTATCTTGAAATGATTTTCAAATATACAAAAAATTATTAAATATTCACTTTGAAAAACTCAATTTTTTTGAAAATTTATTGATTTAAATAATTAAATTGGAATAACCCTGATTTATTTCAATTCTTCAATCCTATTTTATTTCATTTTATGTTAATATTCATTTTCAATCACGTTAAATTGCAATAAATTGGTAAATATCATATTAAATTTTCATAAAAATGAAAATTTGTGAAGAATCATGAAATAGGAAAAATATTGAAATAAAGGATTGATATTTTTATCAGATTTCAAAAATTCTAATAATATGAATAATTAATAATTAATTTTTTAATTCTATTACAAATGCAATATTAGATATCAATGTTATATTACATTATTTCAAATGAAAACAAATATGTATTCATTTGCATGATATATAATTTAAAATTCCTTTTTAAAAATTTTATTAAAAATTTAACATTCATATCATCTAAAATATTTGAATAATATATGTATATAAAATTAAATAGTATTTTGATTAAATTTTTTTTATATTGATTGTACTTAAACATTTTTTGAGAAATAAACAAAGCAAAAATGAAACATCAAATTTTAAATACTGAAATCATAAGCTACACGTTATAAATTGAGACCATTTTGTTTGTCTTGCATTTAAAACAAACTAAAGATTGATTGAATATCAATTTGTATGAAATGTATATTTTACATTTATGATGTATGTTGCTTTCGACATCCAAATTATCTTTCATCATGATTTCCTATGTCTATTTTTTAAAAATATTTTGTAACAACCTCGAAGTATGTGCAAAGTGTCTTCATTGTCATGAATTTGTCATCTGTTGTATTTGAATGATTTCAAAGTATATACTGTCAGTATTACATTGCACATTGCGAATAATTCATTCAAGCAAATTATATTTGTGGTGTACCTCACGCATATCTCATGGTTAATCCCAATAACAAAGACTCTTTTCCACCTTCTTTCTTTCCTAAACCATTCTGAAACAAAGCCACAAACATCTCTGAGGTTTATTTTGAGGGAAATTCGACTTGATTCAGAGCTGGATCCACCTTTCTATGTGTGCAATATGTGCTGCAACCTTTTATCTAGGAGTCTCATGTACGAAGTCCAGTGTAGACATGGAGTTGTTTAGAGTTGGAAATGGAATCAGCGTGTTATCACCTGCCAAATCTAAGAGCCTCCTCCTCTTCTTTACGTAGACCTTGGTATCTTTCTACAGAGGCAGAGGATTGAGAACATAATTCTTCTAATATAGAGAGTGAAATAAGATTTAGTTACTCAGAGTGTCACAATATGTTACAACCGGTAAATCTGTAAACTACACCATAGCAAAGCAGACTGTTCTGACCTCGACGAACAGCAATTACAAGAAGTGCTTGCCCATGAACTGCACCTTGTTCACTGCAGAGCCGCCATGGCGGCTCTGCTGTGATTTGATTTAACACAAATTTAATTTAATTAAATATTCAATTTAATAACAAAGGTTAAATATGAATGTAATAATACTAAAGTCAATCAATTTTAAGACAACAACTATTAAGTATAATGAATCATTGATATAATATAAAGAACAAACAAATTATCTCAAAACAATAAAATTTTATTAACAATGTTTATAAATTATAGCTTGTAAAAAAATAGCAGATAATTTATTTGTATATAATAATAATAATAATATTTTATTTTATACACTAGTAGATAAATCATTTAAATAATAAAAAGTATTTTATTATTTAAAAAAATGTGACATACTGAAAATAAAACACTTCCTAAAGTTATCAAAAAGCTATGATGAATGAGTTTTCTTTTTTTTCAATAATGAAATTTTTTTTGATATTCAAAAAGATCAATTAAATTTGATTGGAAAAGCTATAAAATAAAAAATAAAAATGTTGCAGAAATATAAATTTGTGAAACATGAACATTATGTAAATATTGATGCACATTTTATGTATAATTATAGAAAATAGATATTTTTGTAAATATATTTATAATTGTTATAAGTATACATTTTTTATTGCAAATATATTCAATATAAAATGAAATTTTTACTATTTTGAACTCGGATTTATTTTATTTTATTTTAATTGTTGTAGTTGAAATACCATGCATGATAACATTTCATAGCAATGTAAGATTTTGTGATTTGAAAATTTCTTTCAAATATTTGAAAATTTATTTAAAAATTAAAACCATCTTATGACCAATTAAATTAGTTTAATTTCATATTTCGATAAAAAAGATTTTTAAATAAAAATCAATCTTCAATGTATAAAGTGATTAAAATTGAACAATTTGGAAAGTTGTTTGCATTATGATTGATCATAATGATTGGTGAAAATAATATATTATTCGTATTTAATGCAAGAGTGCAATATATTTTTTAGTTTTTTACACATATTGATAATTAAATTATTAAATAAATTTTAAATAAATTTTAAAAAGTATGAAAATATTTAGTAATTAATAATTATCTATTTGAAATAGTCTATGAAAAATAATAAATTTGTTTAAAAAGTAAGTGTTAAATATATTTCTGATATTATTTAAGATGACTTTTAAGATTCATTATTTTCAGATTATCTTCATTTGAAATGCTGATAAAATATCATGTAAGTTAACATTCAAAATTTTCTTTAAGTATACTTTGATATTTTCAAATAAAGAATCACATGGTATAGATGTATAAGTCAAAACTAAGTTCAAATGTTCAATTAATCAATATTTTGTATATTTTATGAAAGTCTCCAATGCAATCCAGGTAATCAACATTTTTTTGGATAAAGATGTGAACAACCAAAGATGAAAAACTTGGTACTGCTATGCAGCTCCATTGATATACGATGACTATCGCTATCTTTGTCTTCTTGAAATTAAAAACTTTGTATGTAATGGGGTAATAAACTTTGGTGAAGCAATATGTGCAAGTGGTTTGACCTCTGCATCAAGTTATGCAGTGATGGATCCAGACTAAGTGGGTTTGCCTGATGAAGTAAGTGAACGCTTGACTGGTATAGCAGAAGACTGATGTTCAAGTCGCTCTGCGCAAATCTTGCAAAGAATTAATTAAAATGATAATAACACATTACTCCAAAATTTTTATAAGACTACTAAAAAACACCATTATAATAAAGAGAAATATGATATTGATTAAATAATTAACAATCTTTGAGTAGAGAAGTTTGTTTAACCTTTGATAATATTATGTTGGTGCAACTAAATTACCCAAGCAATATATTGTTATTACGTGAGAAAACCCTAAACCCTCTTTATAACTTGCATTTAGTTTCAAAGAACAATTTGAGCTGGAGCAGATACAGTCTGGCTTCGAGCCAAACACATCATTCACATGAAGAAAAACCTTACTAAATAGTTGCTGGACGGCAAATGCGTATTTGGTGGTATGAGCACTAGGAAGACTAGGAAGAGTTCATAGTTAATCTCAACCGGAATACATACTGTAGTTGAAGATAACCCCAAATGCATGCACGATGCAGAACGAGGGAGTTTCGTATGAACTAGCGCTGCAACATGAGCGAGCAAATCGGAGGAGAGCGAAGGGGAAAGATCTCGATGTTTCCCGTCCGTCACGCACAAAGGATGGAAGGACGCAGACCATGACCGTGGACGCAAGCAGACGGACCCGGGGATCCCGACGACGCGACGCCAAAGCGCCGGATAGATAGGGTTCGCATGGTCGCTTGAGCCGGGAGCGAGCCAGGGGGAGGTTTTTATCAGGCTTCAGTCCTAATTATCAGACCAGTCACGAGTCACAACAGTCAGTCGGTCCAATTGCCTAGCGCCTGGTGTGCCCTTCGCGAGCAAGTTTCTTCGATGAATCCGTGAGCATAGCAGCAGCGTTGTGTTACATCTCCGTCTTCCCCCTCCGCTCCGAACGTAGCGATTTCCAAACTCGCTCAGTATTCGAGTGGGTTTGGTTCGGTTTCTTGTTTCTTCCCTCGCTCTCTCCCCCGCTCTCAGGCATGAACGATCTCACGATTCCGCACTTCTTTCTATTTTTTCGGAAACGTTGTTGATTACTTGACCTTTAGACAGACGAGGGCACTGTAATTTCTTATGTAGACGCGAAATTCCTCTGCCACTGTGCCATAGTAGATCCTTAGGAGCCTTATTTTGATCTCGAGAAGAAGACCTATTTTCAGCCGACCTTGGCCTACATGATCGATCGGGAGTGGAAGGAAGGCAGAGAAGTCTCGGATTTGAGGATTCTTTTGCAAGGAGATTCAGAAGGCTGGAGAGGCGGGGGCGCCGAATTGATGCACACCACATTCATCGTGTAGACTCTATCTAGGAGCTGTTTTCCTTCCTCCCACTTTTGTCTTTCCTGCCGACAAATTTGCAGCTCCTGGAAGAGTTCACATGCTGGTTTATCTGGAGTAGATGTAGTTTCGGCTCGCCAATTGTTCAAGAGCCGGTACGAAGACGAATACATCATCCAGGAGTTGCTACCGGATTTGAGACGAATATCGAAGTTGAAAGGCCGTTGTTGTGCGCCGAATAGCTAGTTTCTAGCTTAGGTTGGAGCTAGTGGCAGTTTAGAAAGGCGATCTAGGATCAGCCAACCGTAGGAAGAAATTTCTCTTTCTACGCTTGCTACAAAATGGCTGTGTACTTCAAGTTTAAGAGTGCCAAAGATTTCGACTCTGTATCAATTGACGGACATTTCATATCTGTTGCAAATTTGAAAGAAAAAATTGTTGAGCAGAAGAAATTGGGAAGAGGCTCTGATTATGATCTCGTGATCTCGAACGCTCAAACCAATGAAGGTTTGCACTTTTGCTTAAAAACAAAATGTAAAGCTAGGTTGTTACAGGCGAATTTTGCTGCGTGGCTGGAATTGGCTGGGATTTAACCGCAATCATTTCAAGACAGGATTCGAATCAAGAGTCTTGCTTTCACAGTTACAAGCAGATGCCGTCTCTTCAACTCTTGGAAAGCCCCCTTGTTATAAATCCCCTCTTCCTGGCTAGGAACTTGTTAGCGATTTCTGCGGATGGATTTGGTAGGGCAAGAACGTTAGATTTGCAGTATTTTCGTACTTTCTGTTTTACCCTTTAGCCAGAGTGGCCAGCGTTCAGAATCTTTGCGGGATTGTGCCGTGGCTTAAGTCTCCAATTGCTGGAGTAGGCTAGTCTGTAATTTGTGTGCCCATGTTGCATCTACAGAATACACAGATGAAGGATTTTTGGTGCCAAAAAATACTTCAGTCATAGTTCGTCGAGTTCCTGGAAGGCCAAGGATGCCAATTGTCGCAGATGTCAAAGAAGAGTATTGACTTGATCTCTAAGCCTCTTAATTTACAGTTATACGCCTCAAAGTTTTTGTGAGAGTAACAGGATCATCTCCCTCAATTTCAATCTTGGGACAAGAACTGCGAAAGGACCAGCTTTATGGACTCTAGTTTCAAGATCCTTGCTTTGTTCGAGGGCCTTCGCGCACAATGATGTTCTCCGTGTTTGGGACCGAGCGCGAAGGTCTCAATCAATAGTACTGCTATGTCTTGATGTTGGACTGTCGCTGTTCTGACAGACTGTCAGGTTCGTGTCGTAGAAGTAATATGTCGTTTACATTCTTGTGGCAGGAGGAAACCTACTCCGGAGATTCAACCGGTGAAGAATGGCCCTCAATACGTAGAACCATTTCAGAAGAATCTGAACATTGTAAGACGCAGTTCACGTTTGTTAGAGAGGTCTCCACCAGGACGTCTTCGCTTTTGCTATTCTGCTCAGGAGTGTTTCCCTACATCATAGTTACCTTCATGTCTAGCTGGAGGATCAGAGCATCATACCTATAGAAAAACTATGTCCACAAGATCTTATCACTGCTTCCGCAAAGTTTCAGTAGGCGAAACATGGATTCTCAAGAAATTTGACTTTGCAGCTCATGAGAATTACATCTAAACCGTAAACACGATGTCGTCATTGTTGTGCACCCAGTCTTCTGTTTCAGACGGTCTTGATGATTTTGGAATCGACTTGTATGCGGTACCTGAGATTGTACAAGCCTCTACAGCTTCTTTGACGGAAGAAGAGGATAATAAGATCAAGGCTTTTGTGGATGCATCTGCAAGTGACTGGCAACGGTAGTTTCTCTATTCGACTTTCCATAATCCACCAACTGTGGCCCGGTCACGAAGTGATGGTAGAGGGGTACTTGTAACTGCTAAGATTGACATCAGTTATTGCACAGATAGGAATAGCCTGGCCGGGTGCCTCCTATGTTAGTTCCTCTTGTTTTTCCTTGGAGTCATTTTCACAGTAGGTCTTGTGCACCTTATGCATTACTCCTTGATTTACGGATCTGTGTCCACATCGTAGCTCAATGCGTACTTTGATATTATTTTAGATACCAGTATGTTCATTATTGTGGTAATAATTTTTGGTCCAGACAAACTCAGGAGAGCTTTGCAGCAGGAAGAGGATATGGTAATAAGGGACAAGGAAGAGGTCTTCCTCTCCGAGGATATGGAAACGGTCAGGATATATTCACCCTGATGTGGCAAACGCTCGATTATCCTGCTTAATGCTCAAGTCTGAACTTCTTGTTTCTCCTTTGGTAGTCAACTTTCTGATGAATCTCACGTCATCTATTGGATGTATATCATTTCTTCTCTCTAAATTTTATCCCTCTTTATAAAGCTCCGGACATCAACTGTCACCTTACCTCTTATACCGTAGCAGTCATTTGTGAACTTATGATGCTGACATAAGTTGAATGCGCTCGAGGTTTGAAAAGATCCATTTGCTTCATCCCGTTGATACAGGTCGTGGTTTCGAGAAGAAGAACCCTCCCCATGGCTACGTGTGTCACCGCTGTGGCGTCACAGGTGTGTTTGACCCCAACGGAATGTGGACTACGTTCACTCGTTTGACTTTGGTGTGGGATTTGAGAACCTGAATATAGAAAAAGAAAATTGTAGCTAAACTTTTTTCTCCTTAGCGACTTTCATAACGTAGTGTACTTTTGAAACTAACAGCTTAGGTGCTTTATGCTTATGTGTTCGATCAGTACATCAATCTATGTTGCTTGCAGTTTAGCTAAGCGGTAGCATGCTGTTTTGTGTAACATTAGTCAAAATATTTCTGCAGGGCATTACATACAACATTGTCCCACAAATGGTGATCCCACTTACGATATCAAAAAAGTCAAGCCGCCAACAGGAATACCTAAAACTATGCTCGTAGCAAATCCTGACGGATCGTATGCATTGCCAACTGGTGAAGTGGCTGTTTTGAAGCCTAATGAGTACGTTTCGACCATCTGGTGTAAAGATTGTGCTGCCCAAGTTCTCTTGATTTTTGTGGTATTGTTACACCTTTGTAAATCAACATTGATTATTATGCGTAAGCTTTTCATCCCTAACTAACAATGTGTACTCCAGGGCTGTATTCGAGAGAGAAGTCGATGGATTGCCATCATCAAGTCGTCCTCTACTGGATATACCCTCTGAGCTCTGCTGTCCGTTGTGCAAAGGGGTTTTGAAGGAAGCTGTTCTTACAAGCAAATGTTGTTTTAAGAGCTACTGTGACAAATGTGAGGTTCACTATCCTTTCATGTCGTCAGTGTTGTATGTTCATTCTCCCAACATGTATCAGCCCTTCAACATGTTTGCAGGTCATCTTTATCAGCATGTGCAGCTGTGGTTGTGAGAGGGACAAATATCGGCAAAACTTTTATAAAGTCATGTGGTATATCATCCTCCTCTGGGTTAGTATTTTGTTCTCAAGGGTTTCGAAAGTTAATGGAAATGCACTTGTTGGGTTCGCAGGTATCCGGCATGAGATAATTTCAAAGGCGAGATGTGTTTGTGGAGCAAAGAACATACTCGCAGACGATTTGCTACCCAATAGAACTTTACGCGATGCGATTAGCAGGTTCTTGGAGTCGCAGGCCAGTGCTGCAACGAGCAGTGGCAATGTGGGAAGCCGCCTGATGCTGCAAGGTAGGCATCCTCAGGCTTCACTACTTTGATTGAATGTGAGTTTAAGCTCTGTCTGAACATTTCCAATTCGTCGGCCTTAGATTCATCAGCCAAAATAGGATTAAGCTCGTTACAAACAAATGAGAAGAAGGCATTTTACTGATAGAAGGCGAAGAATAGTGACCCATTGCCTCGAAAGAAACGCTCAAATTGATACTTGTTATCACTTGACTACATATTACGGTTGGAGGGGAGTTTCTAGAGAGTGGGATCATAGTTTTGAATATTACAGCCAGACCTTGACCACAAGCACAGACTTATCTTTTTAATTACTGATTTTTTTTCGATTATCTTGTTTACTTCACAATTCCTTCGGTTTTGAATAGATGTGTTGGGCTCATCTATGTGCTACTCTGCCGCAACTGTTCCATCTTCCTTGAACTTTGTTCTTCTTTTGTGATATTATATTCTTTGTTTGATTTGTGTTCGTCGAGACGGTCTATCGCTACCAGTCTTGCACAGAGCTGGAACATTTGAAATAAAATTGCACTGTTCCTGCTCTATGCTGGGTGCCATTTCCATGTCCATTGAAAGTGTACAATAGCTGGCAGTTTTCCAACCAGGATTGTTAAACCCTACTAAGTTACATGTGTTGCAGATATGGAGTCAGCTCCTTTTGTTCGTGTCAAGATGCAGTCTCCTGCAGTCTCTATATCGTTGAAAGAGGCTTCTTCTGCGTTGATGCCATCAGATGGATCAGATACCAAAGAGCCATTCACCGGAAGCAAGGGTCCGGGACAAACACAAGGAGAAGCATCAGCCGTTTCAGGCACAGTCTTGGAGAGCACTAGTGGTAGAAAACACACGAAAGAAGCTGGGGCTGCTCAAGTCGTAGAGACTGCTGATGGATCCCCGGAATCGCAGCTGACGAAGGAGCCTGTGCAAGAGCTAAACTCGGATCGACAAGCAAGATCAGAGGTAGAACATAGAGAACAAATGCCTCAGCATATTGTTCCCGTTACAAGTCAGGGACGTGCAATGTCTGAACCGATGAAAGGTAAGCTTATACGTTTCGATTTTATAAATGGTGGTTTCGGATGTGTCTTCTACCATCTTTCAGCTATGCCAAAATACTCAAAGCAGAGTACCTCAACAGAGTTTGTAGTCAGTATTATCACGAGGAAATACGTATATAAACCTCATCATAAACAAGGGAAATCCAAGATATATATACTTGAAATATGGGTTTTCTCTTTTTAATAAAATAGTGCACGATTAGTCTTCCTGGTATGAGATATGATACAAGAGATTTACATAACTATTTGTGTAGGTTGTGAAATATACTGGTTAGCCTATTCATTAGCTTTCTACCTGGATATTGGAAATGGTGGGAACATCAGTATACTGCTCCCTACAAATCTATTTTGTGTTTCTCCGGTCTCTTTTTTTGAAGTTCCAAAACCTCTAATACTTGAGGTGCTTGTAAAAATAAGAGCTTCCTAGATTTATCGAGTTTTATCGGTTGGTTCACGATTGTTGTTACTCAGTTTTGAGTGGAACGTGTTCGCCGCTGTATTGCAGGGAAGAAGAAAACCAAGGGCAAGCGTTTGCGACAGCAAGGTATCGTAAATCCACAAGTTTGCTTGCTATCTTCAGCTTACTGATGTTGTTTCTGTTGCTTGATGTTCGGTTAGTCTTGATTGATGCTCAGTTCAGACGCTTAAGGCTCCTATTCGTAATTGCGAAGCTGACGTTCGGTTTTAAATTCATGTTTTGCAGTTGATATGACCTACTCTGAAGGTGGAATGTGGGGACCAAATCCTAACTACAATGCGCAGGTGATGACAATCGAAAATAAATCCTTTCGATTCGACCTAATTGCAAGCGTGAATACCTTGTAAAACTTTCTGGAGTAAACGGCTTGCAAAGTTTTAAGTGAAGAATTGAGTACACTTCAGTCCTGGAAACTAATACTGGGTTTTCTACGTTTTGTAGGCTGAGATGGGCTGCCAAAACTGTGGGTCTTACGATCACCCAGCTTGGAATTGTTATATGAACGGCCCAGGTCCTTCTCACTATCCGCCTCCTATGCAGGGACCTATGTTCAATCCGGGTATGTACTGCTTCTCGCGTGCTAGTATATGTGCTTTATTGGGAGCTAGAGTTTACAGGTGTCTTTTGTCCAGATAACTTTTGTTTTCACTAGTGTGACTTTGATGACAGCTTTTGGAATTTTTTTCCCTGACCTGTGAAGAAGCGTGTAACTATTGAGCATAGATTTCAGAATAGAGGTATTTGATGGGGTCTTCCCTTCGTTGTAATATCCATGTAGCCCCGATCCACCTTCGGACTCCAGAGTCCTATTTGATACAAGCTGTAGCCTCTTTACTTTGGAAGCAGATGTATCCTAGGAATGAATTTGAATGCACTCCCACGGGTTACAGTATGTAGTAGGTTACTTCAGTTATTCCTTTGAAGGACAGAAATTCATTCTTACATGATGCTCCTTCCAACATCAAGATGGTGTATAGTTGTGGATTTGACATTCCCTTCACCTGGTTGGGTTTAGTGCATTTCAGCTTTTTCCTAGAGTTCAACCCGCATATTATCTACATTTCTTAATTACAGTGTTTTGAATCACTTCTTTGTGATTTAGGTTTCAAGAAATTCTCTTAGCTCAGTTGTATGATAGGACACTGACATGTGCTCTCTGTAACCCCAGTTTTCAGCGCTCCCATGAGAGGAATGATGCATCAACCTATGGGTGATGGATACATGATGCCTTACCATCATAATCCCGGTCCTTACAACGGTTATGGACCTACTCCTTATGAGATGCCATTCAATGCACCAATGGTGCCTCATGAAAGTTTTGCACCGCACGCAGGAATGATGCAGTGTGGACCTCCTATGCCAAGGTTCGCTGAAATTTCAACTTGATCCCTGCAATTCGTTTAAATTTTTAATAGTTGGAGACTTCTGTGCTGCTGAAGGTTGCTCGTATCTGATAATGGTCTGCTACTGACCTTGGAGATCTGGTTGGCCCATGGTTCATACTTATGAGTCTGACCTGTATGAAATGGCTTGTACTACAGTGTATGTGCAGGCTACAGTAGTGATCGCTTTAGAAGGGTTTAGCTCGCGGTTAGTATGATTTGAGTTCCGCTCCAGTATGGAGTACGGCTAGATTGGAAGATTGGAAGAGAGCCAGAAACCTTGTACATGTAGTGTATATAATTGTTACAAATCCATCACAGAAAGTCTCCCGCATATATATGGGTGTGTTCATACACCCCCATATGTATATAGGGTCAGAGGGTGTGTTCTACCCAGCGACAAAACTAAATGAGGCTGATTGATATCTGAAAGAGCAATGTTCGATCCAGTCTTCGGATGGCACATTTCACCTTCTTCCAACGCTTGCTGGAACGTTGAAGATTGCAGATGTCTATCTTACACGGATCACCTTCAAGCAGCAGAGATGAGCTGTTTGTTACAGAGATGAGCTGTTTCAAGCAGGAGCATGCTAAGAATGGGATAGCCTGGAGCTCATTGTAATATACTCTTACATTGGAATTGTTATGTACTTTCTCACAACAGGATATATTCAATCTTGAAGTGTGAGCCACCTCATATAGGATAAATGATCGAATAAAGTCAAGTAGACCGAGTCACAGTGACATGTGAAGTTTGTTCGAAAGACTGAAGAACATGCTCGCATGAGTTCATACAGCAGGCAGTTGGGTTGAGTCTGTAGGCCGGAGATCATGACTAACCACTTCGATCAGTTCTCAGCTAGTGTCTGAAGATGCTAGATAGCATTCCGTCGTCCCATATTGCTAGAGGTGAAACTTACAGCCGGGCGTATGGCGTTTTGAATGTGAGAGGTAGATTGAGCATGTTGCACACCATGCAACTTGACGACCAAGCCTGATTTCACACAAAATATCTGTATCACTTGGTGATGTAGAGAACCTCATGCATTCATATTATGCCTGGGAGATTCCACATCGAACACCATCATCGTGCAACTCAAGTGCTCAAAAGCACGTTCATTTTATGAACCCTATCATTTTCCAACTCCTCACACCACAGTGAACGATTATTCATATATTAGCTTTCTGACAAATAAGGCCTATACTCAGGTGACCCTATTTACGACCAGACAGCTCCATTTTTGGCTTGGACCAACATATCCAACAGATTAATTAGTTTGTGTGCATTGATGTGTCCTGTGATAGCCATCAACAGAGTTAGTACATTATACATATTGTACAAACGAAGCACTCCAAGTAAATGTTTACAGAGCCTATTTCAGTTGTGGGATGATAATTACTGGTATTTCATCGAGAACTTCAGCAGTTTCTGGTGACGACATTGTAATTTTCTGAGTTGTCTGCTGATTGTTTTCTTTTTCCAATCAATAGCAGGGACTACGCTGATCCTATGCTTATGAGCCGAGATGAGTTTGAGGCCAGAAAGGCAGAGCTCAAGAGAAGGAGAGAGAGGGAACAGCGCTTTGGCAGGTATTTATAAGATTGGTGTGACAGTTAGGGATGTGACTTATACGTGCATTCTCATTTCACTGTATTCATAAGCCTGAAGATCATGTACCCCCTCCCCTGTCCTGGCAGAGCGGGGCGTACTGCGAAATATATTTTCTACCGTTGACATATGTCTTACATTGCATGATCACCTGTGCATGAAGCAGGGAGCAAGTGAAGTACCCAACGAGTGAAGGTGAGCCGGACTGCATGAGAGCCAATGGGGTAAGTTTCAGTATCAACACACAATCTATTATCGATTACAGCCGAGGCCATAGAGAAAGCTTTTGTTTCTCAGCATGTTCATCATGATTTTGTGACCGTGCTTATTCTCTTACGATTTGTTCTGTGTTGCTCGAACAGAGACTGGAGCGCAGACCTGCAACCTCAGGTAGGGAAAGGGAATTAAGTCCTGATCTAGTCGATGAGCACACTCAACGAGTCAGACCTCACCAGAGCATGGAACAAGGCCGGTATTCAGGGATGAAGTCTGGATCCAGACAAAGAGAAGATTGGACCGAGAAGAATGAAAATCTTCATAGTTCAGACGGAGAAGGGTCTGCTCATCAAGACTCGTACATGGGTAAACGACGTGATAGGTGGAGTTCACGTCATGTAGAGGAAGCCAGCAGTGGAGATGAAGTTTCAGAGGGCGGTAGATACGCTAGAGCTTCAGGAGAGTCATATCATGCCAAGCACAGGGAAAGAGGTCACACTACCCACAAGGCCTCTGGCGACGGTACGAGGGACTCCAGCTTGAGGTCTGATCATAAAGCCGATTATGTTGTGTATGATTCTGAAGAAGAGACTGATGTGAGGAGACATTCGGGGAGTCAGGTTGGCCCCAGTTCTCCTTTGAGGCATGTGCGGAGGAAGCCTGCTGTAGATGAGCAGTCGAATCGGGATCAAGATGTTCGAGATGGTCACTACAAGGAGATTAATATGACACGGGTGCATGCGCAGGACGGGCGCAGTTCTAAAGCCCATAACAGTAGGGAGGGAACGAGAGGTAGCGTGTTTGAAAGAACCAACTTGCCTGTCAAGCCCAAAAGAGTCGTAGAAGATTTGCATGATGAGTATGCCGAAATGGATGAGAGAGACAGGAGTAAGAGAAATAGCCGAATGCCTGATCACAGCCTAATGTCAGATCGCAGGGTTGATGTAGACAGATTGAGAGATTCTGACGACAATCGTCAGTATGCTGGAAGTGTCTCTAGAAAGAGGAGAAGGGCCGCTGAGGATCTGTTGTAACTGTGTCTTCAGCAGCTTGGCTTTGTGTCAGTATGCAGCACCCCGCCGGACGCTGACAGGAGAACACTGTCATCATCGTCATACAACTCGCGAGATATTACCAATATTTTTGGCACCACTCTGTGCCGCTGTGTGCTGCTGCCATAGATATAGCACTGTAGCTCTAGTGTTGAGATATTTCTTTAGCATCCATGGAGGTCTCTCAACGTTAATAACCTACTGTACATGCGACAACTTCCTCTTCCAGCTTTCATTTCAAGTCCTGAGCTGGTCTCCTACTCTCGGTATGTGGGCAAAGTTGGGCATCCGGATCCCAGCGTTGCACACACTCCTGAAGTGACTTGTGACTTGGACCTCTTGTACACTATTCTATTTATTGACACGCATCATGTGGCTGATGGGGTTGTACTCTTGCGGCCAAAGCTTGGCGCGGCATCCATTTGAACTGTTCTCGTCAACGTGGCCCCTTTGTCAGGAGAGTGACTGCCCGTTTCGCCCGGATTAAGCAGCGATGGCACTCACTATCGTCCAAGAACTTTTTAAAATTGCCAAATATCAAATCTGTAAGTCCGGTTCTCACCGGGCCTTGTATTCCAGTTGTAAACCGAAGAATTTGTAGGTACTAGATTTATCACATAAACTTAAATTTTATTTCAAAACCTTGTTGTCGACGTTCCTGGTCTTCTTGTCTTAGATTTAGGCGTGACTCAAGAGTCACATGACAATCTTGAATGGGAGTTCATATAGTATGATATATGTGCTCAACTTTACGCTTGGTTTTTTATCACTGAAGGTTTTGATTCAGACCGCCTACTTCCAGCGTGGACTTCATATTTTGAACGTCCTGTGCTATTCATGCAGTTTTCCTGAGGATATTGCTCACTTCAATGAATTTTGACGTTTGTTTGTTCCTTCCGCTATTCGATACTATCAATCAGCATAATACCCGAGGAAAAGGAAGATGGATCATCGTGTTAACAGATTTTATACATTAAGGTGTGATTTAACGACGTTAAAGTAGGTAGGATGCTATGAACTATGTCTTCTACAACAAAACGTTCGCTATTGACAAAACGACGACGAAATTCAGAAAGTAGAGTACACTTTATCTCACTGTAAAAATGTAGGAATCAGTTGATAAATTGCTATGAAAACTCTTCAACGATCATAAAATATTTAACAGCACAACGAAATTGTATTAACCAGTTTTATCGTGGAAACAATTTGAAGCTAAATATTTAAATTTGTTCATTAATTTCGATGATTTACAACTAATTTTCAATAATCGCTTTTGTTTTCAAATTACAAAGTATTATTCATTATTACTGTTTATCTACAAATTTGATGTGCTATCAAGTTTACATACAAAGTTCTATTTGTTATATATTCAATAGTCTTTTTCAATATTCACAGGTCTAAATTTTTTTTAAAATTGTATAATTGCTGATATTTTTATGTTAAAACATTCAAAAATTCCACTTTTATAGTAAAATTTTAGGGCATTAATAATAAATAATAAATAAATAATATTAATATCAATCAGAATATGGGATGAATTCTACTTAATTTAAAGTTTCTGCTAACCATTATATATATAGAGGATAGCAAATTAAATTCAGCGTTGTATATTTTATGGAATAAGTAAAAAAAAACTAATTTCGTGAGCTTAGCAAGACCGTCACAAATATCTCGCCCTTATTTGTGCTATTATATATTTTGTGGATTTATTGTTTCTTTAATCCAACAATTAAGATCCAACCTCAAGTCAAATTCCGAAACAAACTTGTTTATTTTCAATGTCTGTAAAGACGTCAAAGAAAGTTTGACTTTTGATCCATGAGTGAAACATTTTACATGTTAATATTAATTTAGGTCTTAGATTAAATTCTAATGAATTAATTTAAATTAGAAAATGATTTACTTTAAATATTTGTTAAAATTATGATATAGAATTTTGCTACTTATATACTTAAGAGTGTGAGCAGAAACTCTCATTGAACATTTATTACAATTTTATGATTATCGTGAATGTAGCAATGACAAATCAGACATTTTTCTTGTAAAGTTGTCATATGTATATATCTTTGGTTTGATGAGATGTGGTTGTGTATTTCTTTGATCTTGCTTTTATTGATATCAAAGCTTGTGTGATCACTTTGGCAAAGTAAATTTCAATTACATACACGTGGAGCGTAATTGTTGTAATTGAAGTTGAGAGTGATTTGCCACGAGGACAAGTACCAAGAGTATATTGGAGACAAAAATGGCTGCAATGGCGGTTGATGGTGGCAAGAGTGATGAGGATGTCAAGGAACAGGTACTTAGCTACTTACTTGCAATTAGGTCTCGACAAGGTAAAGTAAAAGATCTTTTATTGACATATATAAGGTTAATGTCACGGATATATATGTAAAAGTAACCAATGGATAAGGTAGAGTGTAGAGCAAAGGTAATGCCAATTTATCTATTCCTTATCGAGGTAATTACCGGTTAAGTTGGCGGCTTGATTAATTATGACATTGATTACGGCTTGATTAATTGACGGCTTTTGTTAACCTGGCGTTAGTTTGGTTAGTTACGCCGTACTTGTAGAGTGAGCGTAATGATATTTCTATGATGTGAGTGATCAAAAATCAAGATGAATGTCATAGACGATGTTGACAAAATTTTTAGTAGTGTTGTTTAGCTTGACGGCAACAATGAAGAGTAAAATAACAACTTTGCATAAGTGATCTTGGTGATGATCTCCAACACCTCCAAGCGTAAGCAATAGAAGCTCGATGTTCCGTGGATGTATGTCCACAATTGACAATCGGATGATACCTCAAAAGAGCAGAACAAACGCAAATGCACGATGTGCAAAAGTTGTTATCCCTAGAAGATCAATGCATTAGGTTGAAAGTTCCATTTGAAATCGGCACACGGAGTCAAAGGTAGCAAAGCATCTTCCTCCAAATCGCTCGCCAAGTGCTTGACACAATCTACAATAGACAAACTCGTGTTCTTGAAACCTACACTACAGAAGAATGAGAATTCTATTGTAAACTACATCATTGGCGGTGGTGTGATCCTGCACGCATATGGTGACAAAAGATTCAAAACGATGGTATTCGCGTTTACAAATGGATACGAGCAACAGTCAACGCAAACGATTCTGAGACGAAGTACGAACCTTTACTGCATCTTGCTGTCCATGCTGGAATTGTTCTTAAGCAAATTGGACGTTGACTTCTCTCTGACATTGAATGTCTGCTGAAATGGAAATCTCAAAGACTTCTATGTGGCTACTACACAATGAATTAACATTGAAGTACTGCCATCAAAGAGTCTTATACTCACGATTGTGGATGTAGTCTGCGAAATCGGCGATGTTGATGCGTCAACTCTGCTCTTTTTGAGCACATTAAAAGCATGTTTCTAAAGTTAAAAAAGCTACTATTTTTATCATTTCTAAAAGTGACTTTGTTGATGGTGCTGCTAATGGAGCACACAAAATTGAACGCGGTCAAATCTAAGAGATTATCATCGATGTTATATTTGTTATCTAATTGAAGAAATATTTGAATGTTTTTGAATCCATCGACCAGGTTATAATCAAATATAATCATACAGTGTGGCTTTGTCAGAGATTTTTTCAAAATTTCAAAACTTTATTTTAAATAATTTCTTATTATAAAATAATTTTTAATTTTTCAAATACTTTTGCTACATTGGCCATTCATGGATTGATTTCATTTGAAGAATTACAATATTTGGTTTTGTTGTACTTAAAACATTTTCAATGCATGTACAATGATACATATGATCTTGCTTATCTACTTTATCTGCAATATCTAGATGAAAAATTCAATCATGCACAACGATCATGAGTTGAAAGATGTTTTAATTAATCAATCTCATAATTTGACATCACTTTCCAAAGACAAGAAATAATACTTGTGCATGCGGTATATAAAGTTTATTATTGCAGTTCGTCAAGAGAATGCCAATAACATGTTAAGCTTCAGGATGTTCATTGATCGACGCAAAACAACATTGCAAAATTGGCTTTGATGATTACACTTGGACATATTTACAAAGCATTGCAATTCAATTTTTTAGCATGGTAATGTAGAGCGTATCTTCAAAACGTAAATTTTCCAAGTTTGAATTTGTTCATTCAAAACTTTGTTATAATCTATTAACTAAGAAAGTTGAGAATTGGATGTTTATTAAGACAAACTATAATGATTTTTTTAGAAAATATCAATAGCACACGATTATTTGATGTTGACAGAATTTCTGATTTTGATAGCACATATGATACGATGATAATGAATTCATAGGAGAATATCTCATTTTTGGCAATTTACATTTAACGGTTTGCAACATTGTAAAATTTTGTAAGATTGAAAGATATGTAAATCTTATCACAATCACAATCTCAATTAAAATAATGATGTAACTTTCAATATTCAGATTTTTTTATTCAATCTACTAAAATTAAAATCAAATTAAAATTTGATTTTGAATTTGATTTGTTGCTTTTGTGTTTACAGTAAATTTTCCATATTTTCGGTAGAATTATAAGTTCGATTGATTTTGAATTGAAAGTTAATTTTGGATTCAATTTGTTGCTTTTGGATTTAATGTAAACTCTTCGTTGTTGATACAATCATAAATATGATCGAATTTAAATTGAAAATCAATTTTGGATTTGATTTGTTGCTTTTGGATTTATTGCGATTGCTCCATATTGTCGATATGTTCAAAATTTGGATACATGTTCGAGTACGACATGCTCATAAGATGCAAAAATTTAGTATTCTCCACCAGTGCAGCATTAACTTAGTGTGCAACTCATACTTGACAATTGCTCTTTGCAATGGAATTCAAGATAAGGAGCAAGGTACTACAAAATGAAACAAGAGCGATGCAAAAATAACTAGATGTAAGAGAATCATGCCGACTTTAAGAATTGAATGTGTTGTACATAATTTTTGTCGATTTTTCTTCATGATCATATGAGCTCCAAATTTATACTATTATGACGACTTAAACATTTCAAAATCTTCAAGTTGTGATGTACAATTTACTCAACAATGTTTGACATCTTGCGATCAGTAAACTTCAAAACATTTGTAAATTGATATTCAAAGCTCCGCTTTTTTGTAAACTGGAAACCAACTTTTTGGTGTATTTGGCATACTTGGCCGCACAATCTCTGGTAGCTTAATTCCAATGCAAAGCGTAGATTGATCAAGCAGAGACAGACGAGAAGATCACAGCTGTAGTAGAGACTACACTTGATAATAGTATCATAGATTCAAGCACTCATTGACAATTGGATGCTTCAGGTTGATAATTTTTTTCAAACATTGATTAACTCTTTCATGCACCTTGGTATAAATCTAGAAGTAACAACACATTTTTCCGACCGAGCCAATGAGAGATGATCTGGGCAATATCAAATTTTGCGCCAAAGAAAAAAGAGCCTAGAAGAAAGTACACCAGGGCGCGATACACCTGAAATTGCAAACTACTTTGATATGTGTAGATGAAAAATGTCACACAATATCAAAATGTAGTCGTGAAGATTGTGATTGTCTATGCTACGCATGGACAATCACAATTCCTAATGAGCAAAATATTGATCTAATAAACTTTGCTGTTTCACCCAAAAAAATTCCATAGTGTAGACAACTCTGTGCATTGCTCAAATCATATGCACGTGAGGAT